GTGACGCTCAGTGCCTTTTGCACATTTCCAACTTTGTAGTCGGTATAAATTAGATTCTTTAGAAATATTCCTTCAACTCAACTCGTCTCTTCACTCGCCATCATTTGATCGACTACTTAGCCCAGCAGTCTCGTTGATGCGACTACATACCGAGTCTACAGATACTTTGTGGAGATTTGCATAAGATCTTTCAAAGATCTTGAATCTCTGCTGAGACAAAATGGCTTCATCCAATCCAACCAACTATCATGGGTGTGTTGTCCTCCCCACCCGGCTCACGAAGATAGCGAGCTAGGTAGCTAATCAAAAGTCTTAGAGAGACCTCATCGACGCCTTCTCACAAACACTCCTCGAAAGACTCCCGCAAGACCCAGGGGAAACGCCGCCAATCTATGTTCGAGGGTCACCCCGACAGCAGCATGTATCATGTTTCGGACCAAAGCTCTAATGCTGAATCAAGCAAGTCTCGACATAAGGAAACGATGGGGGGCAAGATCGCGAACTTCGACAAACGCTTTGGTAACAAGCCATGAGCTTATTGCGGAGCGTCTGGTACGGCTGTCCGGTGGTCATTCTCGTCCATGGCAGTTTGTTAGGGTCAAGCGTGTCATCATGTCAACTGGTATGATCGACCAACCAAACAAGGAACTTTGCAGAGGCATTAGATGAGGGCTCGTTATATCATATGGTTCTGGGGGCACGAGACCTTCGAGGGAATGATATTCGGGAGTTTGGAGTTGGTCGGTGAAGACGGGAAGCGTCGAATAAAGGCATTTTGGTTGGGTTCGTTGTTGTAGGCGTTTAGCTCTTGTGGCCTGGCTGGATATTCCCAATAAGATCCCGGAAAGAGCTTACACAGAAATCTGAAGTTCGAGATCCGTTGCCCGCCATACAAATGAGAAGAATGAATCGGGATCGATTACGACCGGCTGCCCGGAGCGCACTGAAGGCGATCCCAAGCGGGAACTGAGTCGGTAATTATATGGGTCTTTTCTCCGTCATTATTGCGGACGCTGCCGATGTTACAGTCGACGGAGCCGGGCGTTCAGGCTGCCGTCTTCCCGTTTGCTTTGGATCCGAGCTTGTGCAGTGGTTGACCGACAGGTGAAGGTGTGGGTGAGATGAGGCTATGCGGCCCGTAAACGCCACCCCCAAAGAAATCCCACTCTGGGGCATTCACACAGCCCGGCGTTTTACTTTGTCTACGGCTTCTACACTCCCAACATTGGATTGCTACTTCATTGGGCAAGCATGTGCTGGGCCGGTGCTGTGGTCGCGCCGGCGCCGACAGCCGACAAGGAATTAACCCCCTCCCGGTTGCGCATTTCGGACGCTGTTTGGGCAATGTTCGGCGTCAACGAAAAACTGCAGTGGTCGGTATCGCTGTGCGGCTCCTAAACGTCCACTGGGGGGGAAAAAAAACCAAGAAAACCCCCCCCCCCGGGTTTTCTCGACCCTCCAGCGATGGCGTACTCAACTGCAATTTCCCTGTGCTTCCAGGATGGTTGGTTAGGCACCGAGGTAAATGCCCGTCTGATTCATTTAATCCAGAGATTGCCTGTAACTCCTCGCGCCTTTGAATTTACTGCTCGGTTTAAGTGACGTTCGTAGGGTATAGAGGCCATCCGATACATTTAGTTGAGTTGATATTTGCAGGCAGCCCTGCACAGACGTCTTGTCCGCTAAACACTGCAGTCACAATGAACATCGGTTTTTCACCCGGATATTGAACACAGGTTGAAATCGGTATACCTTTGGGCCAGGACTGCACCTCGTCATGTCTTAGAGAGTCGAGGATTTATTATTCAGATGGAAATGATGGCAGATGAATGAGAACTTCTCAGATATCGCACGACATCTGGAGATTCTTATATTTTAGATCCATCCATGAACCTAGATGCTGAAGTACCATCCGAGGCACACCGGGTGGGAACGTGGGGGTCCCCGCTGGGACCGCCTGAGGTAGCAAATCGCACTGTAATAATCATTCACGAACTGTGCTTCACCCAGCAACACACAACCCTTGCCCCTTGGGGACACCTTGCCTATTAGTAACGATCCTTGATCTTGGGCGGAATTGAAACGATGCGAAATATTTCTTTGTATCCTACGTGAATGCGGTTGGATGGCTTCTGTTAACCTCGTAGCATCCATGGGTTTGATTCATGGAAGAGCATCTGATCGGCAACATGGCAAGACTCTCAAGGGCCGTTTGACCATTTGGGTCGCTGGGGTCGAAGGAGAAGTGGCGAGCCATGAGGTCGCAATAGTAGCAGCTGGAGTTGATTTATTTGATTGTCCCCCATTGATAACTTGGGTGGGTGGGTAGACGGAATGATCAATGAAATTGTGTTCAAAATGAACATCGACAAAAAGTAAACGTCGTCCACCACCTGGAATCCATCCTGTCTTGCGCCCCATGCAGGCCCTGTGTGCAACGCGGTCTCTCTCGACGGCGGCAACTGGGCGGGAAAAAAAGAGTACACCCCTCGTACCTCAATAGCTTGTTTGGCTTAAATGACCACATTTCTGATGGGAAAAACATCGTAACTAGGATTTCAAACTAATTATGAAGATTAGAGACATTTTCCGATGAAACTTTTCGTTCCTTTTAGTCACTTAACTATCGAAGAAGCGTCCTGAAAAGCTCAGCATACACAGTAGGGCATTCGCTGAATTTCTTCGCTTGGTTGGGGCGGACTTCAGTTGCTACGAAGTACCGAATCTCCCCATATCGGTTACGACAGCCTTGCTGCCTCTATCGGACAACGTGCCCCATGTTTTTAGCCGGATGCCCACCGACGAGATTTTTTCCCCCGCGACTATTTTAGACAGATCGCCATTTCTTCGCTCTTCGTCTTTTCAACGCGTCGACTGCCAATCAGAAGGGTCTCATGCGACCTAATTAATGCATGGTCCTTTTTTGAAGCTACCAGGTATTGTCCCACATCGCAACCTGGTCCGGCACATTGAGATGCGACGACGTTTGGCCCGCCGTTTAGTAGCTGGCAAGTGCTGGCGCACCTGAACCGCAGTCATGACACCTTCTTCTGAGGACGCATTTGCGCAATATGAGTCGATCTTTCCTTCCCCCGACGACACTTCCAACCCATTATCTTCCTAACCCAACAAATGTGTCTTGCGCGGTGCGTGACCTTGGGGACGAAAAAAAGCCTCTCTGCGGCAGACAACGGAAAACCGCTGTTCCTTCTATCCAGAAACCCTCATCCCGCTTATCGCACCCCTTTCTTCTTCTTCGCACTTTTTGCACCAATAATCAACCGATCTCGACTTGGTATTCGACTTATGCTCGGTCAGTTTAAGTGCTAGGCTAAACCTAGGCTATACCTCCTTTTCTATTTTTCTAGTGCTTTCGATCAATCATAGTCGAGGATATCGCCAAGAAAGAGCTGCGGAGGAGTGATTTCCAACAGATTTCCATGATTTTCGGAATTGCGATTTTTTAGCCTCCCCGGCTGGTCGGGTACGCTGTCCACGTCATCCCGGCATCCCCTCCATGTGACGATTTATTTCCCAAACTACATACGAGACAGACAACATGGACGGCATCACACATTCTCGGTGGTCTTCGTTCCTCTTTCGAAACTACAACTCATATGTTGAAAGGCCAGCGCGTGGCCCGATAGGAAGGAGCAAATGGAGGTTTCGCAGAAGCAGCAGGTCTTCGCTAAATATGCCCCAACGTTGATTGCTATCTTTTGTTAGGATGTACAGTAGGATGGATATCGCCACACACTCAATGATTGGCATACGAAAGCAGACGTATCGAAGAAAAGCGAGGGTCTCAGGTTACTATTTGCATGCTTTCTTACACGTCACTACCCACCCATGTCTCACGGCATGTACGGGGGTGGAAGACGGAAATTGGCGCGCGGACGCACTGGACTGGTCCCCAGGTAGGAGGTAGTAATCGAACGCACAGCTGCGCACAGGTATATCAACCACGACATGCCCACACAAGTGCGCGCATCCCAGTGTCGTTTCTCAAAAGCGTGCCAATTTTGGACCCCACGCGCAACTGCGCGCAGGTATATCAGCCCCTACCTGCCCTTCTGCGCATTGCACCTTTCAATCACCACTCACATACTCTATATTTCTATTTCGCTTCAATGCTTTCTGCGAATATCACGAATTTTCATGACGACGGGCTCGTTGCGAGCATGGCCGATGCGGTATTGAATTTCAACTTCGGGGCGGAGGCATCTCAAACCGGCGCCAATTTCAACTCGGCGGTACTTCCGAGGACAGCCGGCTACCGGTTTTCGGACTACCAAATTCTAGGATCAATCACGTGCTATGTCTTCCACAGGCCGACCGCAGCCAACACTAACATCAGCTTCTCTTCTGCTATCAGCGATACTTGAAGCCAACCTACCATACATCCTGGCTATTCCCTCACTTTTGCAGCTGGCCTGCTTTCACGATAACACTCCCCCTCCCTCATGCCGCTTGCGCAATCCAAGACTGAAACCCCATGAGCGCCTCCGCACCCGCCTGGCAGAGTTGTTCAACAATGGGACCTTGTACGACTGAGCTCTACAGGGAGTTGTCTGACGCCTGCCTCTTTGGTTCCGTAGCCTCTGACCGAAGGTACATTGCAATTGGAGTTTGGAGGGATGATGGGACTTTACCAGCAGGATCTGGAGGTTTGTTGGCCAACGAGGCAGATTGGAGCTACTGCGACTTTCTAAGACACAGAGATTACATCTCTGGCGCGCTGAAATCGCTGTCTTCTGCTGTCTGGGTCGCACCCATCTTTTGACTACCGCGGGCGTATAAATTCTGGTTGTAGGCACACCTTGCAGTTGCTTCTTTGGAAAAAACACCGTTGATAGTGACGAATACAACACTTGAATGATCGCTGGATTCTTTCCTTCCCAAACCTTCTACGGCGGAAAACTGTGCACGTTTGAACGTACTAGGGGGCGCACCAAAAGACTCGATATCTCGTCGGTATTATCATGAGCAACAGGTCGCAGATGTCAAACTATTCCGGGTATGGCCAGATTACATCTGACAAGAGCGCGTCCGCTCGCTAACTAGTGATTTTATAGAGATGTTCCGGCAAAGGCATCACACAAGTACTCAACCGATTCCTCGAAGACCCAAGCAAAGCAACGACAAGCCAAGTTCGAGAGTGCTCCTGACGGATCTGTACACCATCTTTCCGACGCGAGCTCTAGCGTCCGATCTACCAAGAGCAAGCATAAGGCTGCAGCGAAAGACAAGATCAAGGGCTTCGAACGGCAGTTCAACGGCTACTCCTAGATCGGCTCCCGATTCCTCTACAGGACGACGGCGAAGAAGATTCAGAGTTGTTTGAGGTGACGTTGAGACACGAATGCAGTGATGCGACTGTCCAGCACTGGGTTTCGAGTCTCAAGGCCGAGGACACAGAGATAGAAGCCAACTTTCACCATCCGGTCGCATGTCTCGGTAACGAGGATATGATGACGCAACTGGAACCAGCCATTGGCGATAGGCGTTAACGAAGAGATAGCATGTTTTTTTTTGGATTGGCGCGTTTAATGTCATGGGCATCAAATCATTTTTGACTTCCGAACTGACGTCGATGACCTGTGCAATGTCCCTGTTGCGATTTGGGGGCATACGTACTCGCGTGTTGCCGTTGGGTGCTTCAATTTGAGTCGCTGCCTAACCCTATGTCCTTTACGTCACGAGAGCGACGCGCAAATTCTGGCGATGGGCTGACCCAATTGCGGCTCTACAGCGGCTTCGCAGGTTGCAGCTCTCCTAATGGCCCAAGTGTGGGATATTCAATCGGGGTGAGTAGTAGTAGTAGTAGTAGCGGCGGCCCACGGCCCGCGTAGGGTCAGGTTAGGGTCAGGTCAGAGGGGGGGGGGGGGGGGG